TACAGACCAAAATGTCATATGATAAGATGGTGATTGGGCAAAAAAATTCTATTTGAATTTTTCATAGAAATAAATTATGACTGACTTCTAAGATGTAAAAAAAGAAGCATATGAGATGAGAGCAGTAATATTGTGTAAGCAATTGAGTTAGAAGTTCAATTGTGCAGGACATGGAATTATGGCAAGCTATAGCAGCATCAATAAATTTAAAACCACATATTCCATGAGATCTAGCACATTAAAATGTTTTAGTGATGAGGGTGGAGCAGCAATTCTCCCAAACAATATTCATTTAAAATGATTTAAATGAATATCAAGTATAAACCTAGAATATGTTTTAGGACACACAGGAAAATTATAGAGAAATATTTGATAATGATTAATAATAGGAGATAACCATTCACCAATGCAATTGATATTTGAAAATATGTTGAACAGTAAACACAAGCAAAAGGCTAAGTATAACTAAAATAGTCAGTACATATTTAGTGACAAAAAATTTGCCTAAGAGTAAGAGCAGAGTTAAGTGTCAAAACTGCATGGAGAAAAGATACCTATTTATACAACGTGAAAAATTCTTACCTTGTTCAATTTAGACAGAGGGAGTACAATAAAGGCTCCACCACCTCCAGATTCAACAATTATAGCACAAAATTTTGGGTTGACAGCGCAGAATGTGGAGTCCCATGATGCTTTGCTGACTCTGATATTGTCAAAACATTGTTCCCGTTTGAGACAAGTACCATAGACATGCCTGAACTTGCTTTGCCGCACCAGTCTAAATGACATCTGCAAAAATAATTCATTAGAAAAGAAACAAATCAACACAACCTTTTACTTATGCTTTTAGAAATCATGCTACACTTTTAGACAAACAAAACAGCAAATATGAAAATAGCTAGCTAATATTGCAGAAAAATTTCTTGTGCTATGCTCATTCTCACAATCATCTTTGGCATTTGCATAACTTCAACTCTATAATTGGTCTCTATCAATTTATTAGCATAGATACATCATACAACACAATTACAATTCAAGTCTACAACATTAATAAAATTTGCATGGTACCTATTCCATTTTTATATTTGTTACAAATTTATTATTCTACAAAAAATTCCGCTTTACTCAGTACTGGTGCAGCTAAATTTGTTGTACCAGGTGTAAGCATACATATATACTCTCTCAAATGATCAAGAATTCGGCTAAATTCGTGAGTCATACCTATTTTTAAAACATACCTCGAAAAACTTAAAAGAAGATCTATAGGTGACACCACGACTGCAAAAACAGAAGAGAGACACTAGTGAGCTCACTGGGTCTTAAGTCTCACAGGATATACAAGTTATCAGTGAGATAAGAAGCTCTGCCAAGACATCGGCACCTCTCAACCCACACCTAAGCCCACACTAGCAATACACAGTTCCAATGATTTCTCCCTGCTGAACGTACGACAAGAACTCCTAAATCTTACGAATTGAATCCAGACGTAGTCAATCTACTTGAAGAAACTTGATTCAGTCTAGAAGTTGAAAATATAGGTGTGAGGATATAGCTGGAAACTCACAGGTTTCGTATAAGGTCCTCATAATATTCAATTTAATTCCTAAATAGGTGTTGAAATACCGCAGTGTCAAGTTTTCCCATATTTGGTAATGAGACAGGTCATAAAATTTACATGAATAAACGCGGTATCAAATTGTAAATAAATGGTGTAAACCGATGTTTCTTTGGTTTGATCATCGCACATTGAAACAATTTAAATAGTCTATTGAATGACGAAAACTATTTACTTGTTATCGCTAATGAAAAATAAATTCAGCGAGTATCGATCACCAATCAGTAAAATTTGCGGAGAATAAATATTCGTGTATTGAAGGTGAGTGTGTTGTATATTGATAGGTTTGTGTGTGATCATAATCACAAAAAACATTTTACACTCTGAATTTAATAACAACTAAAATGCCCCAAAAATCACGATATTTTTGTTAAAAAAAATTGTCGGAGTAGGCGGGTCCGGGGAAGTGTAGATTCGGTCTAATCACCCTATTTACGGTCGGTAGTAGAAAATAACTGAATGAAATATTTAAACTAAATTTATGTTTGAACACATGCAGGAATTTTTAAATTTGAACGCCTGAAACATCGGAAGTGAAAGCTAAAAATTTGAACTCATTACCCGATACACAGCCGGGGTTTCGATCCGCGTTAGTACGTACTACAGCCAATTTATAAGGTGGACGAGCTAATAGAATTTATGTTCGGTAAGTTCTTCCTTTATGGTAAGTTTCTCTATAAGAGAATGTGCTATATCAGACCAAGCGGTCTCAGACGTAGACAACTGAGAGACTTCGTAAGGCTTCAACGTCCAGCAGGACATCAGGAATTTTGGTTAATATGGATCAAGGTAACATTGAGATATAATGTGTTTGAGAAGCACAAATTTCAAACTTTGGCATAATTACCAACATTTAGAGTATATTCTGAAGATCGGGTTTCAATAATATATAGCGGTTTCCGCGTATATTAGGCCGGAGGCCTGTCGCCGATTCTTAAGATTGCAGAACATCCACAGCTTGTTGCCGGCTTGAACTCGCAACTCACTGCATCAATTTTGCTTTGCTTAACCGCCTGGCCTCCTTGCCGATTCTGACCTGAAACTGGCGCACTGAGCGGGATCGAACCCGCGTTTCTCTGCTCCAATCCTGGTACTCTGAACTTTAACCACTGGACCACCCTGCCCAGTCCAATTTCAGTTCATATTCCTTCTCGGAGGTAGCACGCTAAAATTCAGGGTGTAGATGAGATCAAGCGCGCTTTTATTATAAAGTACACAAGAATTCTTTTACAAAATTATATTACATTCAAAGAACATGCAGTTAAAATAAAGCCTCACTGCTGTCACTACGAAGCCTTGTTTACGCGCGGTTGTGAAACGAAAATGAACGGATGCTATGGTGAGATAAGACGAGCCCGCGTAGCTAAGATACTGTAAATAACGAACTTAGCTTACAGGAAACGGCCATACGTCTACAGCATCTCCATCACGGTCAATGTTATGTCAGCAATCGTCGACTTCATGGATCAATTATGTAACCTAAGAGTGGATGGTGTAAATGACAAGTGAGTAGCTTATGAAAACGAAAAACAATCCCAGCTTCTGAAATGTCACAGTATTACATGGCACAGCCATGCAGCACTACAACGCTTAACTTTCTCTATTAATGTATGGCATATTATAAACAATCAAATTTTACGAACATTAATACTTGAGAAGAAAGGAAATTATAATGTACTTACAAATGGGCTAACACTATTCCAACTAACGTTGAAAAATCGTAGTGTAAAGGAGAAATTTTAGATAAATTTTTTCCAATTTTGACAATATATCAGATGGTTTAAATGTGTAATGAATAATCCAAGCTATTTCATGAGCACGATTAAGCAGTTAATAATAAATGATTTACATGGCTAAGCCTCAGTGATGCAGGTGTATAAAACGAGCTGCCGGATCAAGATACTGAGAAATCAGGCCTGATAACAAATGGTAGAGCATAAAATAGAGATAAGCATACGTCCAGTGCAACGCAAGATCTCACTTAAGCAATAAAGCTTCTTCTATCTTCTCCTATCTTCCTGCGCCATAAATTACCGCTCATCAACTAAAAATTTATCAATTACTGGCTATAATTGTGTCGTTTTTTTCTTCATAAAAATTTAATAGGATTTTGCTTGCTCAGTATTCATCAGTAGCTTCATCCTCATTGTTTTCACATGAATAAACCTGTTACTACACTGTTGGAAAAATTACCATTAACAGTATTACCGGCGTTTCAGTGGCCGGTCGGCACGTGAAAAGAAACACCGTGTCGCCGTTTTTATTCTAATTTTACACTAGAAATCCGTTAAACATCTGATAAAAACGGCGAAACAGTTTATTTTCACGGGGCGACCGGCCACTAGAACGCCAGTGGGACCGTTTTTTCACAGTTTTTTCTAACAGTGTAACTTTCAAAATTAATGTTATACCATTGACTGAACCCTGTCTAAAAACACTATCACAGGGAAATATCCTCATTCTAATGTTACCTATATGCGAAGTTTATAACATGCTTCAGCCACAAGCCCACAACAAATTTGCGCTCGCAGCACAGCTCATCAAAATATAATAGTAATTATAAACATATTTGAAAGAAAGAATGTGGGATTATGTCTACAAGTTTCATACAAAATTAAATCTACAAGACAAGGTTGTAAGAATAAATATGACTTGTCACAACGATCCAAAGATGACTAGTGGCCAAAAATTTTTGGGAAATGTCGGAATGACTCTTGCTTTACTTTAAGGCTATGCCAGAAAAAAAAGAAGCCCTTTAAAAAAAATCTAAAATAGTCCGTCAAGTATTCAATAACGTCCAATAGACAGTTAAACGAAGATACAGAAGAGTGAGAGTACTAGTAACAAATTTTTTGATGATATGATTGTGAACTAAGTAAGTTCAATAATTCCATTGATAAATTTGAAAATAGGATAGTTAAGAGAACTTATCAAGCGGAGGAATCGTGAATAAACCAAAATTTGCTTGTGAATGTTCTACAGCCACTCACCCTGATCACAAGGCAGTCCAGTGCAATGCTATTAGAAAGAACATGTCAATAAATAAATGCTGCAGTGCATGCTGTAAACATGGGCAGCCAGCATGTTCAATGAGAAGCCAGCATGTCTTTGGTACCACAGTAAGAGGTAGCTTGCGAATGACAAGTATATGAAAAAATTATATCACGGTGACTAATTGAATTTAAAAGCAACTTGCTATTGGCCAACGCAAAATCTATAAATTTGTAAGTATTGCGATATAAAAACATCGTGACTATGTTAGTTGCATCTAGTGTCTAGGTGCCATTTGAATTATGTAGAAGCAAGAATATTTCTTTAAAATGACTCAAATTATAATCCCAGAAAAATTTTGTACACAAAATAAATAATAAAATTCAGACCAAGCAACTCAACGTTCAGTTTAACGATGAGTATTCAATCGCCGCGTATAAATTAAAAATGTTGTATCCATCACGATGGTGGACTAGAATTTGCGGCTTTTTATCTTATGACGTAGTCNAAGCTGGCAACACTCACGTCACAAGACCGTATTCAGGAATCTGCCAGATTTTGACGACGCAATCATCAGAACCGGACGCGATGACGTTGTCGTTGAAAGGGTCCCAGGCAATGTCCAGCACAGGCCCTTTGTGGCCTCCCACCAGGGGATAGTCAGCTGCAATGCGGCCAGCCTATGGCGTATGGGAGGAGAATTTGTACATCTCACAGGTTGAATAAATACGTACCCTAAATTACATATTCATCTTGCCAAATAATGATATCAATGACCATTGTGGCCATGTATCCCTCTTGTATTCTTAGTAATTAATTCATTCAAAAGACTGCACACATTACTGGCACCCAGGATTTCTAACACTACACATGCGTAGGCAAATATCCTAATGTTATCCTAATGTGCAGCCATTGTTTGCCAGATATACTGACAACTAATTGAAAGAAATTACAATAGAATTCATGAATTCTTTGCGATTCTTCAATGAAATAACATCTTAACGTGAGAGAGCACAGCATTAATGAAACCCCAGTCATGAGAAACTGATTAATTACTCTTGCAGAACTGTACGTTCATCTGACTATAAATCAAACAAGTTTGTACTAAGAAGCCACTATTAAGCATTTTTGTTTGCTTACAAGCAGTTTTAATTGTGGAATTAAGGGGGGGATTAATAATAAATTAAATGTTTGTATCCCAATTGAGCAGATTGAGGGACACTGGCTATCTATAGATCTCCTGTGATATTTACACCCACAGATGAACAAAAGGATCAGATACACAATGAATAAACAAATAAAGATGAGGATTTAGGCTAGAGGGGAAATTAAATGTAAACCAAAGTAAAATTTTCATGACACCATAGAATGAAGAGGGACAAGAAAGAAGTTTGGTTCAATAGAAAAACTTGGCTTGATCCTAAAAACCAAACCAAATAACACGGAGAAAAAAATTCTGGAAGTACAAACGAGGAAAGAAGGAGAAGTTATAGCTTCAAAGTTATACTAATTGAAGCTTGGAGATGGTCTAGAAAAGTTAAAAGAAATGCAGGGAGAACTATTGACAGAAACAAGTCAGTTACCTGAAATTTTAATCAACAAATAAAAAAAAAACAAAAAATTACCATTATTTTGAAATTGGCCTAGAATTGGAAAAAAATAAAATGATAAATAAGAGACCATTCAGCAAAATTAAAATTTATTCACCTATTGCAGATAAATAAGGACATAACAAATAAAATTAAAACTGTTGGCAGGATCAATAACCAGGTGAATAGACAGTAAAATATTATTTTGTTATCAGTTAGAAACTTAAAAAAAAAATATCCT